GTGCCTGTGTTGGGGCGCCACCCAGCGGCACAGCGCGGTGCTGCAGCGGCTGTCGGGGGCCACTGGGGAACAGCCACCTCCTCCTCCTCCTCCTCACACTTGGCTTTTGGGCTGAAGTAAAGCAGAGCTGCCGTTTACCTTACCCACCTTTAAAGCCAACTGTAACTCTTCAAAGTGATTTTTTACAGATTTATTTATTTATTTATTTTTATTCGCAGTTGTGGATGGGAATAAAGCTTTTCGTCTCTATAAATTCCTGCTGATTCTTCATTGCTCTCAAGTATAGCCAACTCTTGACTTCATTGGTTTAATAAATCACTGAGATGCATAGATAATATGACATTTTCTGAGTGGAAGTTCTGTTGCCTATAGTAGAGAAAAAGGTAGTAGTGATAATATTGAATAGAGAGCAAAAATTCCTTCCTGATAGTAAGTCAGCGCTTACCGTTGACACAACTTAGTGTTTTCAGACACAAGCTGACTTATGTGGAGCTCCCTTGAGCAGGAGTGGGGATACATACCCCTAATCTATATCTAAATCCTTCCTTAGGAAGTTGAGAGCTAAGATGCTACAATAAAAAAAAAACCCTCTTGAAATAAAATTAACATAGACTTACCCATGATTAAATTAAACATGCCTTCTCATTCATTAAGAACTAGGTCTTCATGAAATGAAGATAGAGTTAAATACTACAGCATTGGAGCACACAAAAGTAAAGGACTGGGGATTTTACAAAATGCCTGAGAAATACTAAGTGCTATTTTGTTTTCCACTTTAGTCTGAAGTGTGAAACACACAGTTCTTAAAAAAAATAAAATCCCAACCGTAAACTCTTGTCTTCATGCATAAGTCATAAATTGTAATCACTACTCATTCCAATTAGCTGCCTCACTCTTAAACTATTACAGTTTACCGTTAATTTTCACTTTAAACTTTATTAACAGTGCAAAAATTAAATTACCTTCTGAAGTTGGTAATCCACAAAATGGCTCAAAAGACACATGACTAGTTATTTGTATAAAAAATAATTCATATAATAGGAAAACTGATGCTGGAAGAATTAAGTAAGAATACTGTTTCAAATCTAAGTGGCCAGAAGGAAGGTATCTGCACACCCTGAAAGAACAAGAATGTCTTTGCGTGTCCTCCTTTCTTCCTCTTTCAGACCCATTTCTGGGCTTGAAATAAAATTAATATAGACTTACCCATGATTAAATTAAACATGCCTTCTCATTCATTAAGAACTAGGTCTTCATGAAATGAAGATAGAGTTAAATACTACAGCATTGGAGCACACAAAAGTAAAGGACTGGGGATTTTACAAAATGCCTGAGAAATACTAAGTGCTATTTTGTTTTCCACTTTAGTCTGAAGTGTGAAACACACAGTTCTTAAAAAAAATAAAATCCCAACCGTAAACTCTTGTCTTCATGCATAAGTCATAAACTGTAATCACTAGTCATTCCAATTAGCTGTCTCACTCTTAAACTCTTACAGTTTACTGTTAATTTTCACTTTAAACTTTATTAACAGGGTGCAAAAATTAAATTACCTTCTGAAGATGGTAATCCTCAAAATGGCTCAAAAGGCACGTGAGTAGTTATTTGTATAAAAAATAATTAATATAATAGGAAAACTGATGCTGGAAGAATTAAGTAAGAATACTGTTTCAAATCTAAGTGGCCAGAAGGAAGGTATCTGCACACCCTGAAAGAACAAGAATGTCTTTGCGTGTCCTCCTTTCTTCCTCTTTCAGACCCATTTCTGGGGGAAAATGAGGAAGAAATCTGGAATTTGTACAGCTCCAGCAGGGGTCAAAAAGAGTAGTTTTGTTTCCATCTCCCTCTCTCTGCCTACCGTAGCATTATGGGTTGGTTGTTTTTTTATTTGTGTTTGGATTTTTTTGTTTGCTTGGTATTTCCCCCCCCTAAAAAAACCTTGAAAACCACCAAGTAGCCTGGAGTATGAGTCTTCTGTTTTAATTGCTGATTTGACTCAGGACCTTATTAGAAAGGATTTTGTTCTGGGTGTAGATCTGGCCACTGCAAAGCAGAGGGGTGGTAGCAGGGAGAAGTGACAGCTCAGGTGGCAGGGCCAAGGCTCAGTAGCTCAAGTTCAAAGCCCAGGGATGTGTGTGTGTGGCTGGAATAAAGACCTGAGGTGCAGAGAAAGAAAATTACTTACCCAGAGTTGGATGAGAAGTTTGTGGGGGCTGAAGTCAAAGATAGGTACCTGGTCCAGCAAGGAAGAGTCTCTGTCTTTCTTTTCTTCTCTAGAAAAGCTGTTTTTAGCTCTGACAACTCACTGAGTCCTTAGCAAAGATCATTATTAATTTTGTTTGTGCAGTTTCTGTGACATCATTGCAAAGTTGTGCACTTTTATGTCTTGGATGCACAATGGATTATTTTGCTTTTATTTATGCTCACTTTTCCTTGTCTTTTCTTTGTGCTGTATAGCGCCTCAACGCTTCTGCTGTTACAAAACCATGGGACTGCAGCTTCTCTCTTTGTCAAGTTCTCCCTACTTCAAGGAACATTTAATTTCAGTTTTTAGTGGCTGGGCTTCATTGCCGGAAATGACCGTAGTGATTGAAGTTCCTCATAGCCCGAACACAGCGTTGCCTTGCAGCTTGTTGTGCTAAGGAAATACTTCATAACCTACGGTGACTTTCTGCACTGGGAAATATGCAAACCCCTGGTGCACATGAAAGCACAGGCCTGCAGTCCCAGCCACCTCCTGAGGAGCAGAATTATGGAGCTACTGCAGCACATGGGAGACAAGGTCCATCTGTGTCTGCGCCAAGGCACCCTCCAGCCAAGAGACAGTACCTGACAGCTGCTGTGCTGTGCTATGCAAATTTAATCAATTTCATGGACTGGTTCCTTGTACCAGGTGAGAGCCTATTTTCTCCTTCTAAGGAAAAAGAAATTTAAGTTCTCATCAGCTCTACTTACTCTGTAGTTACAAATGTTTTCTAAAATAAGGGTGTGTTTTATGTCTTTTTAATCTTTCTCACTTACCTGCTTTAGCCTGTTGGTCGTACTCTTAATAAATCTTGAAAGACCAATAAGGGATGTATGTAGTTATTAATGGTTAGTAGAATGCTTACAAAAATCAAATCTGTTAAATGCTTAGGATTCATATTGTAAAATATAAGTCTTTTATAAACAGACCAGCATTCTGAGCAACTAGTCCATTTTTGTGTCTGGATTCTACAGGCTTTCTTTTTTTCTGTACAGCAGCTTAACAGGCCTTTTTTGGATCTGGTAGATTAGATAAGGCATCCCCTTATCTGAAGAATAGTGATGCCCTTCCCCCCATTAAAAGTACAAAAATGATGTTATCTTTGTGCAAGCTGGTTTAGGGGGGACTTAACTTCCTCATGATCTGCTGGAGATTGTGTGGTTTCTGCAACGAAGATTGTAATGTGATTGTGTAAAGAGAACGGAGACTCACTTCCTTAAGCATCAGCTACCAAATTTACAGCTTGTTCTCTAATAAATAACATCTTTCTTCCAAAAAAAGCTTTTTTTTTTTTTTTTTTTTACCTAGCTGTGAACAGCCAAGCATTGCTTCTAGTAAACTGGTGGGAAATCTATCTTTTTTCCTCCCATGTAAATTGTGGTCTGTGTAAATTCTTCTGTTTCTCGTCACTCCTAAGCATCTACCATGCTTCCTGGGATCTCATTTATAAATTAGGAGGAAACACTTGTTGTGAGTTTGCTTTATTTTACTTCTGAGTGGCCTGGAAATCATAAATGATTTAAAACCTTGAAAAAAAACCCCAAAGGACGGATTGTTAAATTTGGAATTAATATCTACTGACAGTACACAAACAAATTATTTTTACTACTTAGACCATTCAGAAATGTAAGACATTCGATCAGTATCTTTAAGAACTGAGAGGCTAGTAGGCTTAGGAGGTTAAGCTTTTTTCTTTTGAATACTTCTTAACCACATATATAAGAGGGAAGGAAACAAGTAGGAGTGCATGCTGAATGATACTCTTAGTGAAAAACTTCAGTGTATGAGTTCTGTTGTCAAGTAATTTTCCCTGGAGAAGGATAGGGGAACAGGAGAGGATGAAAATGTCTTCAAGCAAGAACTGGGATGCTAGGAGGATATGCACTTGGAAGGAGGAGGCTTCCAGAGAGTCTACAGGGGAGCTGGAGAGGGACTCTGTCAGGGAGTGCAGTGACAGGACAAGGGGTAATGATTTTAAATTGAAAGAGGGGAGATTTAGATTAGATATTAGCAAGAAAGACTTTACTGTGAGGGCGGTGAGCCACTGGCCCAGGTTGCCCAGAGAAGCTGTGGATGCTCCATCCCTGGAAGGGTTGAAAATCAGGCTGGATGGGGCTTTGAGCGACTTGGTCTGGTGGGAGGTGTCCCTGTTGGTCGTACTCTTAATGAAACCCCAGGGCAGGGGGCTGGAACTCAATGATCTTTAAGGTCCCTTCCAACTCCAGCCATTCTATGATTCTGTGATTCTAAGTATTAAGTGCAAGAAGTCATTTGGCTCATTCAAGGCTTTGAACTGTACATGCCAAGAGCTTAAAATTTTCAAGAAGGCCTGTGCAGGAAAGCTTGCCTACTTGTTAACGTGCTCAGTGTCTTGTGAGTGAGGTACCTTCAGGGATATGTAAGAATTCAAACATCTACTTTAATTGCAATATATGACTAAAACGTTTTTAAGTGAACTCTATGACCTGTTGGGCCACGGGGGGAATCTGTAAATTGCAGTTTATACCACAGCAATATACTGTTAACCTGCTAGAATTCAGCTGCATTGCAGAATTCTTGCATCAGGACTTTTGAGATTGACTGTCCATATGCATGAACTTATTAAATATAAGTTAACATAGATGTTAAATATAACTTACATGTTACATATATGCTATATGTTAAATATAAGTTAATTTCCTTAATATAAGGAAAGTGAAGAAGGAGAGGCTTGAGTTTAAAAGTTTAAAAGTTTAAAAGTAAGCTGGGGGCAGTTACAAAGTTGTGGTTTCTGGGCAGTTTTGTTCACAGGCTTTCACAGAGTTTGCATCAATCTTCACACAGAAAACAAGCTCTTCCACTTAATTCTCTGCTGGAATTGAGTCTTCAGTTTGTTAAAAATTGTGATTATGCGGAATTTCCCCCCTCTGATCTGTTGCCCTGTTCCAAACTGTTCAGATCAATGTTTTGCAATTTGCCAATAACTGGTCAGGCCAGTTATTTCAGTTATGTGGAGGGGATAACATCTTAATGGTGCTCAATGTGAAAGTTAGTTTGGGATGAAGTTGTGGTTCAGTTCAAGTCTTGTTTTAGCTGTGATCTATTCTAAATACTCAATTAGTCCAAAACTGAAGTTCCTGTAATATAATATTTCTGTGTGTTGATAATTGACTGTCACAAAGAGTAGATACAATTGAGTTGTTTTAATGATACAAAATGTTTTAATGATGTAATGGATTTAATTTTCTGAGACCATTAGAAAAACCCTAAATGCAGAATAAGTTCAAGACTCATTGAGAAACAGCTATAAAGCCTCTGGTGCTGCTGTTGGGCTAGACCTTCTTCTAACCTTTTCCCACAGCTTTTGAATGGTTAGAAATCAAGATGGAATTTCCATCAGCTGTTTGTCAAAATAGAAATGATCACTTTTGGTGAAGTTTGTCTGTCATTGTCACCGCTAAAAATGTTAATTTGTAAACCCACAGTTATCTATATCTCGTCTGATCTCTGCAAAATTGTAAAGGAAATATAAACAGAAGTACATGATCGGAACCATGATTATTTATAGTGTGATAAGAATTTTGAATACTCTGTGTGTCTGTGCTTGTGGTGGAGTCCTGGTTTACGTGTAAGCTAGCAAGCTAAATGTGCTGCAGTTCTTGCAAGCCCTGTTCTTGAAATAGACTTTGAGGTGGCAAATGAATAGAATTACAAGGAATGAACAGGGTACTTTGCTGTCATTTAATGTTTGACTCTGTTGCAGGGATCCTGTTAAATATACAGAAATACTTCCAGCTTAGTGATGGGGATACAGGTCTGCTTCAAACAGGTAATAAAATCTCTTTACTTCAGATAGTTTATTTTGCCTTGCATCCATGTGGACTGTTCCTAAAACACAGTCTAGTTACTTTTTTCTTCTAGTTCCTACTCGTGTGTGGTATTGCTCACTTCCACATGTGGGCAGGCTGACTATACTGCAAAAATGAAAGTCTTTGGTTCAGGGAAGACTGGTGTTGAGTCCTTCAAAATCCCACAATATATGAATCACAAAAAATGAAAAAAGGATGTGTTTCTCAAGAAATACAGAAATTGAGCAATTCACACGGTTTACTTTGACATAGGGTTTTTTGAATCTGCATTTATGTTTCTAAATATCAATCTACCTACTAGCTCTATAAACTCAGCCTGCCTTTAGTCTCTGCCCTGAAAAGTAACCTGAGTTTGTCTGAGGGGTGAGGAGTACATACGATAAAAATAATTTGACCAATATTGTCTGTGCTTCTTCTTGGATTTCCAGTGTTCATCTTGTGTTACATGCTGGCTGCCCCCATCTTTGGATATCTCGGTGACCGGTACAATAGGAAGATCATCCTTGGAGCTGGTATTTTCTTCTGGTCTGGTGTAACATTAGGCAGTTCATTCATCAATGAACTGGTATGTTGCTTTGTCAGAGGGTATTATGAAAATAATTTGCATATGTCTTGCAGGAATTGATAGGGTCCTTCTCTGATCGCATTTAGAAAAACACATCACATTTGTAATTCCCTCTGGGTCTCACTCTAAGAAGTCACTACTGTGCAGAAAGTAGAAGGCACAGCAGTGGGATGCAAGGGAAGCAGGTGTGAGTGGAGGGAATACAGACATTTGCAAAAGGCAGTTGAATTATTATTTCCTCTGGTATATTCAATCCACTAAAACGTACCTCTTTAATAGTATTTTTTTTTTTTTTTTACATTCAATCCACTAAAATGTACCTCTTTAATAGTAATTTTTTTTTTTATTGGACTATAATATGTCTTTTGCCTGCAGTATTACTGGATATTCTTCCTTTCACGAGGACTAGTTGGCATTGGCACGGCCAGTTTTTCCACAATAGCACCTACCATCATTGCAGACCTGTTTGAAGAAGGAAAAAGGACCACAATGCTGTCTGTCTTCTATATCTTCATTCCAGTGGGAAGGTTGGTTTTCTTCCTAATCACAGAATCAGTGTCGTCATGGTTGTTAGGACCTCTGAGATCACCGAGTCCAACCATACACACACAAAAAACCCCACTACAGTCTCAGGCACTAGAGCATGCCCTGAAGTGCCACATCTACCCGTCTCTTAAATCCCTCCAGGGATGGTGACTCCACCACCTCCCTGGGCAGGTTGTTCCAGGGCCTGACCACTCTCTCAGGAAAGTCATTCTTCCCAATATCTAATCTAAACCTCCCCTGCCCCAACTTCAGGCCATTTCCTCTGCTCCTGGCATTATTCCCTTGGGAGAAGAGGCCAACCCCCACCTCTCTACACCCTCCTTTCAGGTAGTTGTAGAGGGCAATGAGGTCTCCCCTCAGCCTCCCTAATAACTGACCTAATAACCCTAAGCCCTAATAACTGACACACCTTTTGGATTTCTGTCTGACCACACCTGCAATTCAATATACCCTGAGCCTTGATTACATATATTTTGATGTATATCTGCATTGTCTCTTGCAAAAGGATTTGTCACTTCCTTAGCATGTTTACATAGAGCTGGTTAGGTTTATTTCTGTATTTACCTTGAAGAAGAATTTGCTTTTTTTCCCCCGACAGTTTTAGAGAGAATCTAAAGTCTGCAAAGCTGTAGGCTTTGAATAAAATATTGAATCGGTTCTAAAGGAAATAGGTACATAGGGATAGATAATTTATTTCTGGGTTTTGGAAGAGAAAAGCTTTCAAATATTAGTTTACTTGACAAATTTTTCAAGAATCCTTCATTAAATGTCTCCCCAAGGCACTTCCCTTTTCTCTTTTAGTTAAATTGACATTGTGTCTGAAGAAGAGGTGGAAAAGAGCTTTTTAAGTGGTTCGGAGGCATACTCTGTTAGAGCAGGCAGCCAAGGCTGAGCCCAGAAGGCAGAATAAAACTAAAGGAATTCCTGCAGGGCTTAATTCACGTGACTAACACAGAAAAGAGTAAATAATAAACTGCTTTATAGGCTGTCTGATGTGAGTATACAATGTCATTCTGCAGAATATGTGTTCTCAGGGGAATCTGGACCATTATTGCCACCATCTCAAGTCTGCTCCGAGGAAGTTAGACTCTCTTTTTCATACTGGCTGGCAAGTAGACTTGCAGAGACCACGAGAGTTGTTTCTGTTCATCCATTTTGAAAACTATGACAAAATATTTCTCTGTGCTCTCCTTACCTGGCAAGACATGTCATTTCAGCCAGCAAGAACTCATTAGTACCTACTGATTATTCCTTTCTGTTGTTTATAGTGGTCTCGGTTATGTCCTGGCAGCCAGCATGGCACATGTCACAGGAGACTGGCACTGGGCGTTCAGGGTGAGTTATTTGCTTTCACTCACGGGGCTGGGCCATTCGGTGTAAAATCAGAATCATCATTGGGTTTTGGATTACTTGTGTTCATTGTGGACATGAGCAGGCAGTGGGCAGCTGCAGCCCAGAAGGCCAATCGCATCCTGGGCTGCATCAAAAGAAGCGTTGCCAGCAGGTCCAGAGAGGGGATTCTGCCACTTTGCTCTGGTGAGACCTCACCTGGAGTATTGTGTGCAGGTCTGGAGCCCTCAATAGAAGAAGGACATGGACCTGATGGAGAGGGTCCAGAGGAGGGCCACAAGGATGATCAGGGGGTTGGAGCACCTCTGCTACGAGGACAGGCTGAGGGAGCTGGGGTTGTTCAGCCTGGAGAAGAGGAGGCTCCGGGGAGACCTAATAGCAGCCTTCCAGTACCTGAGGGGGCCTACAGGAAGGCTGGGGAGAACCTGTTTAGAAAGGCCTGTAGTGACAGGATGAGGGGAAATGGCTTCAAGCTGGAGGGGAACAGATTTAGACTGGAGATTAGGAGAGGATTCTTCACTGTGAGGGTGGTGGAGCACTGGAACAGGTTGCCCAGGGAGGTGGTTGAGGCCCCATCCCTGGAGATATTCAAGGAGAGGCTCGACGAGGCCCTGGGCAACCTGGTCTAGTTGGGGGTGTCCCTGCTGACTGCGGGGGGGTCGGACTAGATGGCCTTTGGAGGTCCCTTTCGGCCTGGGCAATTCTATGATTCTATGATTGTGTTAACAGAGGTGAGCAGTGGAAAGTCTTTCTACTGTCTGACTGGTTGTGAACTTGGTGTTTAAGAGAACTCTTCCTGCTGGACAAGTGGGAGATTTATGCCGATTCTATGATTCTGTGATTGTGTTAAAAGAGGTGAGCAGTGGAAAGACTTTCTACTGTCTGACTGGTCGTGAACTTGGTGTTTAAGAGAACGCTTCCTGCTGGACAAGTGGGAGATTTATGCCCAACTCTTGCAGAATGAAAGCAGGCGTAGGTGAAATTGTACAGCAGCCAGGGCAGGTGCTGATGTTCCTCTTACCTGAGGACACACTTGGAATGGCTGTCAGTGCATCAAGACCTCCTCAAACAAAAGAAACCAAAGATAAAATGATGATTATACTGCTAGTTCCAGTATAATTCTTCAGGAAAATATAGAGAGATTATTTTCTGAAATGCTGTTGGGAACAACTTCTATTATTTGAGGGTTTCAAGAAAATAACCTCTTCTGTTCTGATCATGTCATCATGATGTCTCTCCATACTGAACACCTAGTGCTTTGGAAGTACTTTGTCAGAGCCTCCTAACTTATCTACCAAATTAATCAGCAAGTACAGGATGAGTGTGGAAGAAAGTTTGCTGGACTAACAGCCTGGTGTTATTCAGATAACACTGATGACTGTATCAGTGACTCTTGCATTTGTGGCCAAAGTACTACAGTACAGTTTGTTTTCTTCCCATTTTTCTCCAAAATGAGCAGGAGTGATCACATATCTGTATGATGGGGAGGGATGATCTATTACCTTTCCTCCAAAGTCACCATAAATCACCAAAGTCACTCTTCTTTACAAATCTGATCTACAAACAAGAAGTCACATCTCTTTCTGAACATACTGCAATTCCCTGATACGTAATTCTAATGCTGAATTTGAATTGCTGTGGAGTTTTCACTCTAAGAAAAAGGTATCCTTGATCTAACCAGCTTTGTGTCTACAGGTAACTCCTTGCATGGCAGGTCTAGCACTGGTTCTTCTGATTCTACTGGTCCCTCACAGGATACAGAGAAGGACAGCAGCACACAGAGCACTGAGCATCTCCGGGACAATACGAGTAGCAGCTGAGAAACCAGGCGTACGCAGAACTGCCAAGACTACTTGGTATCAAGATGTCATATCCCTTGCCAAAAAGTAAGTGATTTTAGCAGCAAAGGTTCCATCCACTGAGGAATGACCATTCCATTATTAGAAATATGACCATCAAATCCTGCTCAGCTCCTTTGTATCACGTGCTGTATACAAGGGGATTGAAACACCATTAACAAAAATCTTTCTTTCACTTTGACAGGAATGCTACACAAGAGATCAAAAATTTCTTTGCTTCTGCTGTCCTCCCATTTTGAGGAGGGAGGAGGAGGGAAAGTTATAGAATCATAGAATCATAGAATTGCCCAGGCCGGAAGGGACCTCCAAAGGTCATCTAGTCCGACCCCCCCGCAGGCAGCAGGGACACCCCCAACTAGACCAGGTTGCCCAGGGCCTCGTCGAGCCTCTCCTTGAATATCTCCAGGGATGGGGCCTCAACCACCTCCTTGGGCAACCTGTTCCAGTGCTCCACCACCCTCACAGTGAAGACCCCTCTCCTAATCTCCAATCTAAATCTGTTCCCCTCCAGCTTGAAGCCATTTCCCCTCGTCCTGTCACTGCAGGCCTTTCTAAACAGGCTCTCCCCAGCCTTCCTGTAGGCTCCCTTCAGGTACTGGAAGGCTGCTATTAGGTCTCCCCGGAGCCTCCTCTTCTCCAGGCTGAACAACCCCAGCTCCCTCAGCCTGTCCTCATAGCAGAGGTGCTCCATCACCCTGATCATCCTTGTGGCCCTCCTCTGGACCCTCTCCATCAGGTCCATGTCCTTCTTCTATTGAGGGCTCCAGACCTGCACACAATACTCCAGGTGAGGTCTCACCAGAGCAGAGTAAAGCTGAAGAATCCTCTCTCTGGACCTGCTGGCAACGCTTCTTTTGATGCAGCCCAGGATGGGACTGGCCTTCTGGGCTGCAGCTGCACACTGCCTGCTCATGTCCAGCTTATGATGACAGTGTGCTCCTGTTTAAACCCAGCTCTACTTTTTACTAAGCTTCCCCTTCCCTCTTGCTTTAACACGTAGGGTAAGCTACATTGATAAAAGTGCATATTTTGCAGGTGTAACTTTATCTGCAATTCTTAGTGCCCGAGGAAGGTTGCATCAGCATATCTCAGGCAGCCTTTATATGGTATTTGTGAGCCTGATGTGCCTCTGATACAAGAGGTCAGAGTCTGTAGGACCCCAATATGGTTTATAAAGTAACTGTACATATGTTTTGACCAGCTAACCTGCGGCTGGCAGATGACCTCTTCCTTTTAATCATACAAAAATTAAATTAACGACAAAGTAAAATACTGTTTTCAGCAGTTTTGTGGCTCCTGTTTCCCTGCAGTCCCTGACAGCCCTGTCGGGGCAGGGAGGAGGAGTTGGCTGTGGTTGGAGATCAGCAGGTGCCGCTGTGCAGCTGCGCCAGAGCCGGCTCCGCACCCGCTGCTTCCCCGGGGTCACCATCAAATGCTTTGAGTTTAAAGATTTGCTTTTCTGGGACCTTGGCTGTCTTTGGAACGTTCTTATTCTAGAGGATCCGGTGTTTTCTAATTGACAATTAGATTTGCATCCTGTTTGCCTCCAGAACAGCAAGTACCTTAGAGACTGCGTTGCATCACAGTTTGTAGGCAGTACAGTCTGAAGTGAATAAAAAATGAACTTTCCTGAATCAAAAATGAACCTTTCTGACATTTCAACAACTAGACTCTCATCAAAGTTGCTTTCCTACAAAGATGTTCCTTACAACCTCCAGCAATGTTGTAAAAATATATTTTAATTTTCTTTAGCAATTGATATCCAAAGCATAAGTACATACAGACTCTCATCAGAGTTGCTTTCCTACCAAGATGTTCCTTACAACCTACAGCAATGTTGTAAAATATATATATATATATTTTTAATTTTCTCTAGCAATTGATATCCAAAGCATAAGTACATACTGCCAAAAACCAGGTAGTTCCACTTTTAATCAAGTCCAAGAGCCCTTTCTCTTTAGAAGATGAAGAAGTAGGTTAGTATCTTAACAAATCCTCTAGACTAGTGGTCACCTGGTCATTTACAGCACTTCTGTTTAGTCTTAAGATTTCATACCTCCCTATTGACCTCAAAGGAGACTTTCTCCTAAACTATTAACTAGAAAGACACAAGTAAGAAATTAATTTTCTCCTAGGACAGGGCAGGAAGCAGACAAGATTTGGACAAGATTTAAAAAAAAAAGAATTTTTAAAAATGCTTATCCTTTTGTTTGAAAACTTGCTGTGCAAACTGAGAGTCTAAATTTACTTACTCAGGTAGAGTTAAGGACTGCTTCAGCTACTGCGTCTTAACAGTTTGGAAGACTCAGATGTTACTCTCATTTATACTGGTCACACAAACAACTTAAAACCATCCTGAGGCATTTAGACTTGCACATAGAACACTTTCATTTGGCTACTAAGCCATTAAACTCTTGCCCACTCTCTATTGCTGTAGTTCTGCTATCAAAAATTTCACAGCTATTGTTTTAGCTGAAGTTGACGATGAAATCTGCAAGAGACCAGCACTGGGGTTTAACATGAAATCAGTAGGTCATACTCCTCACTCTAATTACAACTTTACTGTTGAAGTTCATAGATAAAGCCTCATCAAAGTTCATATCTTCAAGGGAGTGCATTTTGATTATAAGATGTCTGAATGAATTTTGTTATTGCTTGAAACCCTGGATATTGCAGGTGGGCTTTTCCCTTTTTCCTCACCCCCCCCCTCCCATTCTTTCTAATATCTCTCATTTCTTTCAGGCTTTTCCCTTTTTCCTCACCCCCCCATTCTTTCTAATATCTCTCATTTCTTTCTTTTGACTTTCAGTTGGAGTTTTGTCTGGTCCTCGCTGGGTCTGACTGCCATGGCCTTCGTTACTGGAGCCCTGGGAATGTGGGTACCGGTGTTTCTTTACAGGGCTCAGGTGGTCCAGGGCCTTGTCCCACCGTGCCCTGAGGAATCATGCGATTCCTCTAACAGGTGAGGTGTGCACGACTGTGGAAACACACTTGGAAACACTACTTAGTGTTAAGTCATAGTTTGTTTCCAAAGGCAGAAGGTGGGATGTGACTGTGGACACTTCTGATGAAGGCAGTTGGGTGTGAATGTCAGACTAAGTTACTTCCAGGGACGCTGAGACACTCCTAGTTGTTTGTTTCTAACCACTTGGTTAATTGGAAAGATGCTGCCAGCCCTATTTAAGTAAAGTGGAAAGAAGAAGTAAGAGAAACACTTGCAGGAAAAGGAGCAGCTTTAGCAAGGAGACTTCACTTGGCAGTTGACTGTGAACCCCAATAACAATTTAAGTGTGTTTGGATCCTGTGTTCTGGTAACTTCCCTGTTACCTTCTTGTTAGTCTGGATTTAAAACTACTGCTGGGTTGGCCAGGTCATTGTGACTCCCAGCATAAAGCAAGCTTGATGAATTTGATCTAGATTCACAGCATTACATCAAAACATGATAATTTGGTTTTGTGAGTAGCTGCCAGCAGAGCTCCACTTACAGAGACTGTCCAGACTAATAAAGATTAATGAATAAGTATCAAATGTTGGATGGGATAGGGGAATTTACAACAGGAGAGGAATTGAAAGTAATCATAATACACATTCTTAGATATCACTTTTCCCCAGCTAGCAATGGAAGTTTTTTCATTACAATGTGTTATCCAGAATAGAAAAATGTATTCATTGTTCCTCTTGAGCCTTCATGGCTCCCCTCAGTAACAGTGAGCACCGGGACGCTCTTCTTCTATGTGCTGACTCCCTACAAGAACTAAGTGCTTACTACATTGTCTTTCCAGGCAAAGACAATTGAAAGGAAAAGCAGCAATCACACCTCGAGGTGTGTCCTCTGGTAATGGGGTTCTTTTGCATTTCTGCAATGGAATAACTGAGTCAAGTCAAAATTGATTTCTGAGGTGTAGTGTAAAGCAGATGGATTGAATAGCCATCCACAAATACTTCAAGGGGAAATGCAATTGCCTTTCCATGGATGCCACCATTGGCACATTGCTTAATTGCCAATAATGCTGAGGAAGGGAGTGAACTCAGGAGTTTGGCTTAGGGTCGGTGGGGAAGAGAAGGAAGCTGTTAACAGAAACAGTTTAAATACTTCCTTTATTAAGCTGAAGGTGTTAGCCTGTGTTTTGTTTTCTAATCCACCTTCTGAATTATTATTCCATGGTAGCGTTGCCAGAGCAGACATGTCTTCAGGGAAGTAAAATAGAGCACCTCATAGTTTAACCTCATGTACTGCTTCTTACAAGATGCTTTAAAAATAACCTTGGCATAAGCTAGTGCCAGAAGCAGCATAAGGCTGGTTTTAGACTGTTATTCCATGGGGAGGTAAAGGAACATAATATAAACGACTGTGTCAGACCTGTAGCTGATGGTGCTGGAAGAACTGAGCTGCACACTCCCAGGGATGCTTTAAGGATGTTTTCCCCTCTGGCTGTTCGGCACTTGCAGGCTTTGTTTAAGGATCAGGGCTGTGTCACTTAGAGTCCCTGGAAACACAAATTCAAATGGCACCAGAGCTGACTCAGGTCTCAATCCTTTCAAGGTAGATAAATAGGCAGTATGAAATTTTTATTCAGGTCTTTTTGCAGGCACTTTCCAACAGATTGGACGGATAAATGAGCATTCTTAGACCCTAAAAGACCCCACAGGAGACTTTCCCCAGGACTAGGCTTCTGTGCTTTCCTCCTCCCTGTCAATTGTACTGTGCTTTTTTTTAGTTTTCGCTGTTCCCGTTTTTTTCCAGCTGCAGTTTTATTTCAGCTGTAGTTTACAACACATGAATCTTCTAAACACAATTCCATGAATGCTTTGATCAACTAATGTCACCTTGGAACTTGCCTCTCCCAGAGAAATGTCTAAGGTAGTTATTCTGCCTAGTGACAATCTACATTGGCACTATCAAGCTTTAGTGAGTGATGGATCAGAATCCTGAATCAGAATATTTGTACTCTCTCACAGGGAGAGTATAAATATGCTTAAAGTTTGTTATCTTGTATAGCAATACTTTTTTTTTTTCCTTGTAGAATTATTGAGTTCTTCCTAATCACTCAGAAAGAAATTAAAAAGTAGATGTGCTGTAATTTAATGGACTAGATCGTATCCTGGCTGGTTACTTTGATTTGCAGTCAGAGAAAGCTTAGAAAAATGTACAGAACTTATCATGTAGCACTCTGAAATATTTAGAAGCACTCGGGCTCAGAACACAATGCTCCTGTCCCCGTTTGCCTCAGGAGAATTATGATGCATTAAACAATCAGTGGCACCACTGGTCTTGTTGCAGGAGACTTGCTTTGTCATTAGGATCTCATTTGGGACAGAGAGAAAAGCATATATGGAAGTCCCTTTGGAAGCTCAGTCTTCTGAGCTATTCAAACATATACTTTTAAAACATGAACTTGTCATTCCTGGAGAACACATTAGCATTTGCAGACACACAAAGCTGAGTGGCATTTGAAATTCTGCGTTCAGAAAATACTACATAAACCTCCCACTAGTTAACTATTCCATAGTCTTTGAACTCTTGGGATGTGGTAGATGTTTCTCATAGTCAGAGAAGTGACTCATCTCAGCTGTGTTAACTAGAGGGTTATAATTGAGATATATATCAATTCCACATGATAGGATCTCTTCCAAGACAGCAGATTGTGATACAGAGTGATTCCATCTGTGTTTTAGGGATGCCTGAGTAGATTGGGTCACAGGGTAACCAAGATGACTGTATCTCCATTAAATCACTGAATGTCCAGGCTGGGTCATACTAAGAAGAGTCGTCCTTGAGCCTGGGTGCACAACACCTGCTCTGTAAATGGGAAAGTATCTGCTCCACAGGACAGGACCTCAGCTGCAGAGACACAGCTTCAACTGGGGCTTGGGATTACATCCATTTAGAAGGAGTGGGAGGGTTAGATCAAATGGAATAAAATTCAAGTTCCCCCATTAAAGATTCCTCTAAACGTGCAAGCTAACACCATTTTTTCCCCACAGTATGGTCTCACTATGCTCAGTTGAATCCTTTGCTTTGTCACCAGCCTAATATTTGGAGGCATCACCATTGGGACAGGGATCTTGGGTGTCGTTGCTGGGGCAGAAGCTGCAAGAAGATTAAGGAAGATAAACAATAAAGCTGATCCTCTCATCTGTGCCACAAGCATGTTCGTTTCCGCTGTCTGCCTCTACATAGCTCTGATGGTGGCCCAGACAAACATCCTTTCCACTTTTGTAAGTGCTAATCAGTCTATCATGACCAAAATGTCTTCTGGGATCCTGGGGAGAATAGGAAGAGGCGGGGAGGAGGAGGCAAGGGGTAGCTTTTTGCAGAATTCTCTGTAATCTTCTAGACCATTAAGAGATTTCAGTGACTTGGTGACAGGGTGGGCTGCCAGCTGAGCACTGTGCTGTTGCTTTGATAGTCCCTCAGCTGCAATCTGTCCTGTGACAGCCACCCTGTTCATTGCTTGGTCCAGTAAAAAGGGCAGGGAGAGTTTTACAAACTGGGCATCAGGACCTACAGAGTCTGCCTACACTAAAGAAGAGAATAGGAAGCCTGTGGAGGTAGCTGCATAAAGCTAAAGCATTCCTTTTCCAAACTGTAGTTGAAGGAAGCCTTAATCTTATGTTAATTTTTAATGCTATGTGACTAATTTAGTATTCTTGTTTATTTTTGCTCTCTGAATACTTAAAGATTGGTGTACTTGTGACTGTACAATACATACAGTTCTTGCTAAGAATAATTTAGCCGTCACCTTCAAAGCCCCAAATCACCAGCTGATCTTCAAAGTCAAGCTTTTGGCAAAGCAAACTTAAGTATAAATCACTTAAATTCTGTTCTCAGAAAAGGGGAAAATAGACACTTCCTAGGAATGACAAATAGTTCCAAAAAATCCCTGTGAGAGGGAACTGTATGCAAACCTTATTTTAACTATAATCTGTTAACAGCTGGGGAAAGATTCCAAGCTTTTTCCCTGTGACTCCATAGCCTCAATTAACATGATTAACATAAATAAGAGGGTCCAAGTAAAGTTAATTACAGTAATCAACAGTTCTCTGCAAAATGGTACTTTTGCAGGTTTTTTTCCTTCTAAGAATAACACTTATTCAAAGAGGTTTTCCTTTTGATTTCTCAGGAATGTGTATTCCTGTGGAAAAACACCTTTACACCGAGGGAAAAAACAAATGGATTTGCATGTCTGTGTGTACACAAAGCAAAATGTGAAATTGAAGATTATTTTTAGATTCAAGTGTGCAGATCTGAGTGCCAAAAGAATTAGCCATTTTCTTTTTCTGCTTCTCAGGTTCCCACATAGTTCCTCTCTGAGTATGTTCTTCAGTTCTTTTTCTGGCATTAAAGGCGGAGAAGAGTTTCATTTGCCAGCTTGTGTTAGAGGAGTGAATCAATATCTTGGTTTTGAATTACCAAAAATATATCTTTTATTAGGACTGATAAAAAGAAATTTGTGTAACTGTTTCTCTTCTTGCAGACAGCATTCTATTTCCAAGCAGTGTGTTATCAGGGAGGAAATTCTGAGCTGGGATATGGATAACTGTGTTCCTTATCTTTCTTCTCATGGGCAGAAACAGAGCAGTTGGTCTTTTAACCAGACACTTTGGCATTTTGTCTTTTCCTTGATGTGCTTGATTCGGGTGTTCCAAAACATAATGTCAACAATGTGCAGTGGTAATAAATTGTACATAAGCTAAGCACCTTATTCTTCTAGTACTTTTACCCCTAGAGCTGCTTAACTATGGCCTTCTCTGGCGCCAGCCGTGCCTTTCCTGGCTTTCTAAACAAGATCTGACACAAGTCATGCTGCTGTGAGAATTGGAGTGGCGTGCCAGCTGCTGCATCTAATTTGAAGGTCCCACTGAAACAAATCTTCCATTTGTGTAGGACAGGAGCAGGAAACTGTGGCTTTCCAGTCCCTGTCTGCTCAGGCACACCGGCGTTAGCAAACCTGTCTCCATCACTTCACAGAGCGGAAGCTACTGAAGCAAAAAAGCTTCAATGCATCAATGTGCAATTACAGTAGTTTCTGGATAGTGTTTTCCACTGTCTTGAGTGGATAATGAAAGGGACCGAGTCAGGTTTAATCAGCTATGGCCAAAGCTGGAAGGAATGTTTAAAAACACAAGACTCTCAAGTTGACATGGAAATATGGCTGGACCTCCAAGGTTTCTGTTGGGGCAGGTGAACTGAAATGTAATGAAATTTCTCTGCTCTTTCTGGACACCCAGTTCTTGATTTCAAAGACTAGCTTTGAAAAGACAGAGAAGAATTACCTGGCTTTGTTATCTCAGAGGAGGCTCTGTCTAAATCTGTTCCTGTCTCCAAAACAAGATGAAAGACGTGTGCTCTGCAGTGCAGCAGGTGCTTTGGAAAGTTGTGACTGGGAACCTTGGACAGTATTTGGTAACTTAGATTTAAACAGCCTTATCTTTGATGGTAATGCTGTATCAGGATGGAGTCTTGCCCTGTGATTTGCCTGTGAAGGAGACATTCTGCAGTCCCTTCTCCCTAACAGAGCACAGTACTTTCAGGGTATCTCCACCTGTTTGGAAGAAAGGAGCACACAACTCTCTCCTCTATTGATTGCAGTTGTTTTGCAGTTGGATGGCTGAGTATGCCAGCTGTTCAACCATATTGCATTTATTCTTCCTGAGAATGTATAAAATTGATATTGGTTTTAGACAGAATACCTTGATACAATCTGTATAATGTTTTATTACCTTCCCAAACTGTCTGGGTTAAATTTTTCTGGAGACCTTACAACTGCAATCCACACAAAGCCTTAGGAAAGAAAAGCAAAGCCAACAAAGTTGTGTCTTTAATGTTAACACAATTATGTATGAAATATTTATTCTCTGGAGTATGTGGCCTTAGCCACTGAATATCACATTTCCTTATCATGAATAATTTTTCATTAATTCCTATTACTTTGAACTCTAGATTGAGCGCATAACTTGTTTCCTAAAGATGAATTTGACCTTTTCTCACACTAGGCATGACATGCTCTTGTTCTTAGGAGCTTGCAGAGATTAAATAGCATGAAAAAAAAAACAAAAACATGAAGAAAAAGGAAAACTGGAATCAACACTTTAAAAGTACTTAACACCACAAGATTCCTATAAGGGAGACAGAGCGATGTCTCATTTGATGTGTAAAAGCAGGCAGCCATATATTCCATTGATGGTATCTAGGAACAGTTTGGGAGTCTTTAGAACCTTCTGTACTAACCTTCGTTATTTGCATCTTGCTATATCAGCCAGGATTTAAATGAATCTCTTTGTTCTTTGTCTCCTTCCTGTTCCACTTTAACCTGCCCTATCTCTTGCTAGCTGTGGCACAACCGGCAGAATTTACATAAATTCACACCATTATCACTGTACTTCTGCTTTTGCCTGTGAGTATGGCTTTGACCACAGGCTGTGATTCTAAGCTAAGCAGTAACACATTTGAAATTTCTTTGTACAGAATCAGGGGGAAAAAAAGAAATTAGGTTCTTAATGAACATCTATCTTCCAAGACTATTCAGAAAGTATTAGCTAGAAATAAGGCAATGAAGGGCTAAAATTTTCTGGTGGCTGCAAGATTTGACATTGATAGTCCTTATTGCAAGGTGACTTGGCAAAAAGCTGGATTGTGTGATATTGCTATCCATGTTAACAAACACTTTTCATTTTGTGTTTGGCCCAAAGTTCTCTAATAAAAGGTGTGTCACCTGCTTGCCAGCTAAGACTGGAATGCAGCGTGGTTTCTCTAGTCTATAGACTGTTATTGCAACAGTCACGGGATTGGAGCAGAATGATTGCATTCTGTCTCATGCAAGGTCAGTGGAAAGACCTTGAGAGTGGGATGCATAAATCCAAGAGCTAAGACTATGTCAAACAAGGAGTATGTGAAACGAGTCATATTTGTTCTAAAACTTAAAGAAAATAATTATGTATGGAGGATTAGATTCAGCTGCAAATTAGAAAATCTATATAAAACATTCTGAAGGAAAAGATGTCTGGATAAAGGTCTATATTAAATATCTCTGTACTTCAAGGCACTTTTTCTCCAGGCTGGTTTGGAGAAGACAGCACATGAACAGTATAGGCAAGAAATGCAGAGGAGGTAGGGGTGTCACAGGCAGATGTATAATAGTGCTTCTTAGGAGAGTGTAAGCTCCCTCTCTGTGAACATCTGATAATTTGCCCCTGTGCCTCTCTTAGGACTGTGTTTTCATCAACCAGATACAGCATCTTGATCAAGACCTTACTGAACAAGACGCTGGCACCTGTTGTTTTAATGGATTTTGTTTCCTAAGTGCCATCTAACATCAAGGCCTGTGTCACTAAATGGATTCTGCCGCCTAGAACTGCTCCAGCTTAATAGCGTAGCTTTGATGCTTTCCTCAAGTATCCATTAGACTGTACAGCCTGATTAAATCTATGTCTGGGGCTGACTGAAAGGGTTAATCTTTTCTAGGACCACAGCTGTAAGAACTGTTGGGGGCTGTACCCCTTTTCCTGATGGCTGGGTCTCCATCTGTGATGAATTAGGGAATTCCCATGGGACACCAAGGCTTTGAGGCTGCCTGTCTCTTGGAGTCCATTTCATTTTGGAAATTATCTCTCTGAAGGAGCCTTTAAGAGTACATGTACATACACAGAGGTGTTCTATTGGTTTCATTTGGAAATGGGAGCAAAGGGAGATCTTTGAGTACCTTTTAAACCTGTGCTGAATGTTTCTCTTCACAGGCTCTTGCTTTCCTCTTCTTGGGTTCAGCCGTTCATTACAGTTTATTTGGGAGTGTGGTATGATTCCTATTTTGAATCTTTGGCTGACAATTTGTGACAAAAGGAACTGACATACCTTCTCTGGTTCCTTTCCTCTCTTTTTAAGACAAAATTAGTGTTTGTAAGCATAGACAGAGATGTTTAATTTAGGAGATGGGTATGTACAACTCTTACACAGATAAGCATGGTTAGTGAGCCTTCGTTTTCCCAATAAAGAAGGTCAATGCAGTGTGTATAGTCACTGATTTCTTCTTGTTTTTCAGATTTTTATTGCATTGGGAGAACTGTTTTTATCTGTAAACTGGGCTGTTGTGACAGACATACTGTTGGTAAGTGCTCGTGAAGCCATTTCCTTATTTTGAGTTTTTTGGCTTTTCTCAACATAATATTGTTCATACGCCTGCATCTTGGTGGCCAGAAGGACCTGAGGCTTCTAGGAAGAGATGAACAAAGTCTTATGAAGAATCCTCTTACTGCTACCCTGCTAACATTAGAGATGTATTTATGTGCAACAACATACTGCTGTGCAAAGGTGCCAGTAGCAGTGTAGGTGTGGGGGTGCAGTAGTCCAAAATCATTGTAAGCCCAAAAAGGAGATGTACTGATCTGGGTGAAACTCATGCAAGTGGAACTATCTAGTGCTGCTGGTACCCACAGGAGTTTGGATTTTCTATACAGCTCTGTGTTGTTGGATGTCTGCTAGAAAGTGGTCTGCACCAGAAAAAGGGTCACTTTCTGTCTATAATTAGAGATTTTCTATCTGTGCTTCAGAGGTTTGAAAACGTGATCCAAATGAAGGAAAGTCAATATTCTGTAAACTAAAGTTAGTGAATCCATTACAGTTCATCATTCTGTGAGCTATTAGCAAGTTATTCCAGTTATTCCCTTATTCCAGAACACAGTGCAGATAAATTCCAGCCCTTGCAAGTCAAATTCAGAAGTGGTGCTACTCTGTAAGCGTTAGGTAAGCACCAGCTTATGAGACTCTTGGGCATTCCAGGACTGACACCACAAGCCCAAGGAACAGCAGTGCATTATTTCATTTGAATTCTGTCATCAGCAAGGGTCTTTAGAGAGGAGTGGTGTGAAAAGCACACATCTTGCAACAGGGATATCAATGGTATCAATGAGCAGCGCGTTCGTTTTATCATTGCAAAGGCTTTTAGGGTTAGTAATTTTTTAATATACTTGAGTTTTTACTCAAAGGGAAGTTTTGGCAAACTTTGGTTTATGCTGTAGCACCACAGTTGCTAATCAGTGTCTGTGTAAAACATGGGACAGATATTGTTACTGTCACTGAACTACGCAGATCATCACAGTTTTATGAAGACGTTTATATGACTTTTTTTTTTTTTTTTTTGGAAATCCATAGTATGAACAAGCTGAGTGTAGTTTATCAGTCAAATAAGCATGGAAATCGTCTACCTTGTTCATATCTAGTGAGCAAACTGCAGAAAGATCATTTAAGTGCCAAAACCAGAGCTATTAAAATGATTGACAGTCCTTTCGTTGCTAGCCATGGGCATAAGACAAATCATTTAAATTGGCACTGTCCTTTTCTGCAAAGAGTAGAGTACAGTATCACAAATGTGACACAGACTCTACTTTGAAGAGTATTCTTTTGTGCAATCACTGTGTTGTGGAACAGTGGGTGTGACTGTAACCCAAACATTTCAAGCAAGATGCTACCCGAGAGACAGAAAATGTTGAGACAAGCGTGGCTCGGGCAAAATGCTGATGCAGTTAGTACTGTTAGAGGACAATATAGGGAAATTGTGTAAAGCCATCAGGACAGGTGAGAGGAGACACAAAGGTAAGGGCAAAGCAGAACAGAAATCTCTGACTGTTTCCCACCCTGAGGCTACTGATGGAAAACCAGTAGCTGAAGAGACTCTAAGCAAGAGCCATTTGAGCATCTTCCCTTTTATGTAACAGCTTTTCATTCTAAGGGAGCTCAAGTCTATTTGTGGGTTGCTGCTGAAAACCCCACTGTCATCACAAATCTTTCCTGTAAGAACCACAGTGAATGCATTAATATGTAGCACAACATGCAGTGATGCACAGTAACATGTCACAAGGGTCAAGGGCAGTAAAGAAAACTTGCAGCCTGTGGCTCGTGGAAGACAGTTGCCCACAAGGCTGTCGTCATTGCTTGCTACCACAGGAACCAAAAATTTACAACAGAGGTTGCTGTCACTATGGTCTTAGTTGCTTAGATATACAGCTTGCTTCATACTCCTAACAGCTCACTTAAAATAAGCGGCAGAAAAGCTGAGCAGAGATAAAAGTATCTGCAGATATACAGCTTGCTTGATATTCCTAACAGCTCACTAAAAACAGAAAAGCTGAGCAGAGATAAAAGTATCTGTATTACAGTCTTCCGTGTAAAAGGATGTGCAAGTATAGAGCCAAATGCTGAGCACTGTGCAGTGACAAAAGGGACTAGCTGAGAAGCACTAGGGAACTCGCCTTCCACTGACTTGACCTTGCCTTCTTGACATGAGCCTGCGTATCCTCAAAATTCATAGCTTGAAGAAATGTTCTTTACATTCTGATTTACATGAAGGAATGGAACAACTTATATTTCATGGCTCTTCAACAAGACACTGCTGACTGTCGCGTTACGTTCTCAAGTTACTCTTTCATGCTACTGCTCTCTACATGGCAGTTTTCTGCACTCTGGAATTTTAATTAAAAAAACATAATTGCAGTCAGCATTAGCGAATTGGTTGCCAGCTAAAAACTTCTGCCAGCAGCAAGAGGGTTTTGTTTCTTCTTTAACTCTTAAAGAATGGTCAGAAACAACTATCCTATGAGACAGGAGCTGTAGCCTTGAAGCAGTGAACAGGTGCAGAAAAGCTATCGCTGGTTCAAATTGAAATTTTTTATTAGCTTCTATTTCAGTTTATTTTGAAATCTTTTTCTTTTTTTTTGCAGCAGAACCAAGTAAACGATTACAGTCGGTGTTCTTTTTACAGCAGTTAAGACACCATTGAAGGATTTTTTTTTTGAAAGTTTCTCAATTTACTTTTCTTTGAACTTCTACATCCGCATTTTAATTCTCTCCTTTGTTGTTGTTAAAGAGGAAGGGGACATCACTGAGTTAGATACTGCTGATACATGATGGGGAAAGTAAGACAGGTGATTACTGGCAGCTCTTTCCTTCAGTTCCTTCCTGACCCCAAGCTGCAAAGTCAGCAAGGGGCTCTGCTTTCATTCCGTTCACTCACTCGGGTCCCAGCCTGCTTAGGGAACGCTGTGTCATATTGCAGCCTGCAGGAAGTCTCTGTGGAGTGTCATTGCCATGTCCTGGATCCATCTAAATCCAGAAGAGGAGGAAGTTCTTGCCTCCTGAATGACTGATGCCCTTCATTTGTATTTATTTGTATTTCATAGAATCACAGAATCATAGAATCATAGAATTGCCCAGGCCGGAAGGGACCTTCAAGGTCATCTAGTCCGACCCCCCCGCAGTCAGCAGGGACACCCCCAACTAGACCAGGTTGCCCAGGGCCTCATCGAGCCTCACCTTGAATATCTCCAGGGATGGGGCCTCAACCACCTCCCTGGGCAACCTGTTCCAGTGCTCCACCACCCTCACAGTGAAGAACCCTCTCCTCATCTCCAGTCTAAATCTGCTCCCCTCCAGCTTGAAGCCATTGCCCCTCGTCCTGTCACTGCAGGCCTTTCTAAACAGGTTCTCCCCAGCCTTCCTGTAGCCCCTTCAGGTACTGGAAGGCCGCTATTAGGTCTCCCCGGAGCCTCCTCTTCTCCAGGCTGAACAACCCCAGCTCCCTCAGCCTGTCCTCGTAGCAGAGGTGCTCCATCCCCCTGATCATCCTTGTGGCCCTCCTCTGGACCCTCTCCATCAGGTCCATGTCCTTCTTATATTGAGGGCTCCAGACCTGCACACAATACTCCAGGTGAGGTCTCACCAGAGCAGAGTAAAGTGGAAGAATCACCTCTCTAGTGGCAGAATCACCTCTCATTTATCTTTTGGTTTTAGGTACAAGCAGTATTTCATGAACAGGCAACAAGTGGGAAGGTGGAAAGCAGAGCTCTGTAGTGCTGTGTCCGCCCTGACATTCAGTGTATTACCATGAATGTTGAATCTGTTGAATTCTAAATGTTGCTAATTGTTTTATCAGCTGGAATTCAGGTGGAATTGTTTTATCAGCTGGATATCAGGTGGAATTCAGCTAAATTTGTGGATGTCTGCTCATTCGGTGGCAATCTTATTTGAGAGTTGTGTTTCATCGTGCTGCAAACCCGTGTGTTCAGTGTATTACTGCTATTACATTGACTGAAGGGTGTCACAGATAGTAACAGTAATTTCTCTTTTTGCATTGTTTCCCCTGTGAACCGGTAGGATTTCTGATAATGTGGCTGGATTTGCTAATGCATGTTCTTATTTTGCCATGAAAATGGCTTTTCTTTCTTCCCACGTGGCACTACTAGCCAGACAATGTAGCTTGGAATTCATTTATTCTGTGACCTGTGGAGCTGAAGACAAAGGAAGATGCTCACTGAATGATAAGGACTTTATTCCTTTGTGGCTAATACATCAAGATGCATTGCATGTAGCAACCTTTGTGCCTCTTATTCAGCTGTAAACATGAAGGTATCTACTGTATGGCTACAGTTTTAATGTGCAAGTGGAGAAGTGCTGTAGCTGCCTTGCTTACAATACACTGGCTTACTGGGAGGCTGGACGTGGAGTGTCCCTTATGAAATATGTTTGCCATCTGACAGGTATTGGGACTCTGTCTTTTAGCTTTTTGGCAGCTAAAAGTGTAGGAGATGCTGGAAGTGGAAGCTAATACGAGTTTTGTGAAGGCTACCAGCATGTCCCGGGCTTTGTTTGGAAGTGTCTGGGGGAGGTATAGGAGCATTTACACCAGCCTGTCTGTTCCATCTGCTTTTTTAGCTGACAGCTCTGTCACACAGTCTGCAGGAGTATCTCTAAAACCTCCAGAGACAGCACAACAGGGTCTGCAAACTATCTGTTTGGGGCACCCTGCTTATCTGTCAAGGCATCTGGACTGGGATCTCCTAGGAGATGACAGTGTGTAGGATGTCATCTGCATTGTTGACACAGTAACTGCGGTCACTGTGGACAGGCAGGGTGCTGTGGCTATTTCAAAGTCCCTGTGTGGGGGAGTGTTTGGTTTTTTCTTTTTCTAGTGAATCCTACAGTGCATTGAGCTCTTGCATGTGGTTTCCATTGTGCAGAAGAACCTGAATAATAGTACAGCCAGAGCTTGAATGAGCCTGGTACCTACAGGAAACATCCTATCCTTCTCTTCCATTTTTCTTGTTACAGCTTTGTTCAGTGTGTCTCTTGTGGTTAGTGATATGAGAAGTTAAATAAATGTGGTAAGGAAGTGGTACAGGGCACTGGGAGAGAGAAAGTGCATTTATCTTTCCTCATGCCTGCAATGCCCACAGTACACTAAGTGCATAACAATATTTGATTTGTATTTCTCAAATGCAGCTTGTCATTATCAATAAAAGAAATCTCAGCCTGGGACAGATGACATGATATACTTGGAGAGCCAAGAACTGACAGTCTCCAGTCTAGTACAGTCTGTCATAGCAAGGTCTACTTCCCAAGCTCAGAATTTTCTACTGTAGTTTCTTTCTCTCTCTTTCTTTACAAGATCCTGTTCCTAAAGTTCAGATGTTCTTCTGGCACTCCAGGCAGGTTCTGGGAGAAAACAAAACTTGGGTAGACTGCACACCCTCAGGTTGTGCCATGGCCATGGTGAGGAGAAGCTGTTGGACTGTTCCTTCATCCCATGGATGACAACGATTTCAGCTTCCAGATCAGCCAATCTCACCTGACTCTGCTCTTAAACTGGCAGGGGACTGGATGGAGTGTGATGGCACCAGGACATTGAAGTGCAATCTCTCACATGTTCCTGTTTTAGTATTTATTATTGTTGAAGCACTCTATCTAAATATTCCTAATGAAAACTAAATGTTCCATCCATGGCTAGAAATATCTGCTTTGGAGATGCTAGGAATGGAAAGGGATACAAACAAGCTGTACGTGTACAAAGTAAGGAAGGAGGTTGTGTCTTTTAATAAAACTGCATTGTATGGAGTGCTCTTACTGGGTGCAAAGATGCTGTTTTAAGATGTTGAATAATTTGTGTGTCCAAGTTTGTGACCAGTTCTACTGAGAGGGGCACTGCCAACGTGGACTGGTTTTTTACTGAAAGAATAAGGGGTTTCAATATAGGTTGCAATATGGGTCAAGCAGGACCAAAAGGCTCCCGCTGAATGGAAAGAGTTACACGAGCTCTTAAGAAACTCCCTCTCTGCACAGAGAAAATTTGGCTGTAGAAAAGAGGACGTCACTGCTCATTGCTGTGTTTCTGGCATTCCAGCAGGGTGTAAGGCATGTTACTGCTGAGAAAACCCTGGCTACAAGATAGGTTTACTAGGCAGAGATAAGGACAGATAGCCAAGTTGGCTATAATTTTTGTTAATTATGTTGGAGGAATCTGACTATTTTCTTTTTCACTTTAGACCAAATGCTCTGTTAAATCTAAATGGGATTCATAACCTCATTTCCTAAGGAAAGAAGGCTTAACTACAGTCTGTGTCTGCTTTCTCTCAAAGTTTTGAAACCATGGATTTCACTCCAGTTTGATAAAGAATTAGACACCTCAGGAAGACCAGAGCTCATACAACCTTGTGAAAATAGGTGACCTTGCTAAGAAAAACTATCCAACTTGGCACCCCCCAGAAGAGCTGTGTTTTAGGGAAAGACTCTGCAGCAGATACATCTTGTCAAACATGAGAGAAAATGGTAGAAATAGGTTTGTGTGGGAGACCATGAAAACAGTAGCAATGGAAAAAGCTTGGCATGATACTTAAAGCACAAGATGTAAATCATGCATTATTCCGTGAATGTTTTTTTATCAAAATAATGTTTTTTAGGTGGTCTGATTCAATATGTGCCCCAACCTTCATACCAGGAATGTATGTCGTGCTAGCTCCTGCAGATGGAGGGCTGCAGGAGGGAAAGGAACACCGTGCTACGGTGTCCTCTGTCAATCCATCCCTGAATGCATTGATTCAATATGTGCCCCAATCTTCATACCAGGAATGTATGTCGTGCTATGGGGGGCTGCAGGAGGGAAAGGAACACCATGCTATGGTGTCCTCTGTCAATCCATCCCTGAATGCAAACCATTACATTAACACAGCTTATTGTCCTTCCTGTTTCTGCTTCTGTGCTATGGATTTGTAGTTTCAGAATAGTTAAAATGCTGTAACTTACTGGTATGTGTAGGTCCTGACTGCATGTGGTGCTTACTCTCACAAGAGACACACCTTGGGGTCTTGGACAATGTTGCTTCTTTACCTGCCTGTTTTAATATCCATTAATGGAGTTCCACCCACCCTAGGGATGTTGCTATTGCGATATAGCTGCATCTTAGTGGTAGGTAAATGGGTTTTTATCTAATATTTTGAGGCCCCTTTAAACACAAAGAGTGGTGATAAAACTCAAACGTGAAAGCAAGATCTTTTTTTTCTTTCTAAACCCCACTTGTCATGCGTATTAGTGTTTCTTTGAAGACAGCTATAGAACCACAATAGGTTATAAACCTTGAGTTTGTCTCTTGGAAAAACACCATCACCCTATTAATTAGTGTTTGAGATACCCTAAGTGATACTCAGATCAGTTTCCAAAAAACATGGGGTGTGGAGGAGTGGGAGAATATTAAGCATTTTGTCTCTGAAACACGCAAGTGGTTGGAAAACAAAGGTATGAAGGTTTAAAATTGCTTCTGTCTCATTCTGACTGTGAATGCATTTTTGCGTAAATGTGTTATTGAAAGAGAGAGACACAAATTATATAGAATCCTGCTGTACTTCTTCAGGCACAGTTGATCTTCAGTAGCACAGACATAAAGCCCTTATTACCCCTAAATGACTATATTTCATTTTGAAAAATACTTCTAATCTGTGTGATGCTTTGCTGTTTGCTGGATGCATGCCATGTCTTCTCCAACACAGTTATTTAAACTGTGTGCACTCAAAAGCATAAAAATTTTGAGGTATTGTTACTAAACCAGCTATATCTCAGGTGCTCTCCAGTTACAACCAGCAAACTCCTGCCACCAGAGCTATCATCAAAGCACCATCAGGCACCTTCTGCTCTGAGAGGTTGGGTCCCCTCCCTCTATCTTCATGTGGTCTGCAAGTTCTCAGCTGACATCCTTTATAGCTGTGGCAGCTACTTCAGGTTCCAGGTACCCCAGGTGCCCCCCAGCAGTCTAGACCGTGCAGACACAGTGTCCCAAGAGATCTTCTCAGAGGCTGTTGGTGATGAATCTCCATATTAGTAAATCTACAACTGGATGGGATACTGGAGAACAGAACCCTCTGGCTGGAGGGTTCTATTAGTTGCGTGGCCAAGTGAATCTGTACAGGCTGCTGTGAAGGGGAGACAGGGGACTCATGGTTTTCCTACTTTATTTTCATTACCCCTTGTGTGTTGCTTTCTTTAATGTTTTTTTTCCCTCAGCAAAACATCCAGCGCACTCTTTTGCTCAGAATAACTTCCCTATCTCCAAAATGTAAACAGTACTTGAATAAGAAATATATAAAAATAGGCACATTTATCTCTCTAGGATGTTATATTCATCTCTTTAGGATGTTATAAGTTCATGAGGTTCACACTGTTAATATTCACTCTCTTGTGGCTTGTGTTTTGTTTCAGTATGTTGTGACACCGCGACGGCAGTCCACAGCTATTGCCCTGCAGATTTTGGTGAGCCATTTGCTGGGAGATGCAGGCAGCCCATACCTCGTTGGGGCTGTAAGTGAATTCTCTGCTTATTGAGTTTTTCTTAGGCTAAAACTTTTCGAAACTGAAAGACAGACACTCACAGAATTGCAGGCACTTCCTGGTCCAAAATTAAAAGTTACTCAAATTGGTGGCCTTGATACTAGTATACAGAAAGACATTTTTAGGTGCTTCTGGCCCTGTGACACTGCAGTTATGTAGAATATAATCCTGTACCTGTAGGTGTAAGTACTTCCACGCAGTGTGTAGAAATTTATTTTGATTTTACATTTGCACACTCATAACTTTTTGAAGGCATACATTTTTGCAAAGACAGTGCCATGGGTATTGTACTTGGATTTAAGCACTTTCTGCTAAGTTTGTGAGGACTTTCATGGAAATTAATCAAAATACCATTTTATATCTTGAAACCTAAAACTGTTAGTTCAAATCTTAAGGTTTGAAAACTTGCAACTAATCAATACCCTCTTGAAAATCAGAACAAGAGTGACTGCAATGGTTGCCTTTTGATACTACTTGGCATTCAAAGCTCTGGTCTCAAATTGCCTTAACCTTGAATTCCCATGTTGCTTGAGACCTGATTTATTTGCCCTTCCTACATTTACTTGATCTGAGGTGCTTCTGGGCAGAGCAGCCTAGTACTGTGTTCTCCTTGCAGTTCATTTGTTTTAGTTCTGCTGGATGATACCTGTTAGTGCTGTTTCCTTCAGTCATTCATTTTGATTTAAGACACTAATTCTGCACACAGTAGCTAACTGATCACTTTGATTTTTTTCTGCTTTACTGGACATGGGACAGAGTGAGTCGTTGTTGTTGCTGCTTTAAAGTTTTGTTTCTATGGAAGTTTATTTTATGTCTGTTCTTTTGATGCTCCTTGTTTGTTGTGTGGGTGTCTATTTTTGTCAGTTAGGTTGACGGTTGGACAAGATGATCTTTAAGGTCCCTTCCAACCTAGAAGATTCTGTGATTCTGTGATTCTCTGTCCCCTGTTAGCAGTGTTAGGGTTAGACAGGGCCAGGCAGAAATGCCCGAGTGAGCTGTGCCTGCAGGTGTAGCTACTGCTGCTCCAGCCCTTCTCCTCAACTGGGTGAAAATCAGAGTCTAAGTGGTGTAATCTGTCTGGCAGAGAAGACAGCCCTCTCTCACTGAGATATTCCTCCTGCTGGCTCGCTTGTTTTGGCAAATGAAGAGATCACTTTGCTCATTGGTGTGTATTGTGAAACTATTGCCTTCACACTGACTTGGCTGGATGCGTGGGGGAGCAGAAAAACCGACATCTCTGTGTCATGAAAAGTGGCTGGAATGATATGCAAAAATGGGAGGTATCTTAAAAGCTGAAACGTGTCTTGTGCATTCTCCTTTCTTTGACTATTCCATTGATTTATGCTTCCTGCCTGAAAGATGAAAATATTTGTGTCTCTTACCCACTGCTCCTTGCCATCTTTGAGGCAGAGGCAGAACTGAGGCTTCCTGCTGAACGTGCTGCTGCATCCTGCCAGTAGCTGTGTGCAGGATACCTCTTATGCAGCACTTTGCATGGGGTTGCCTTAAATAGCAGCTAATCAAAAAGTGTGAAGACAAAAAAAGCTTATCCAGATGAGATTAACCTCAAGCAACCTTGCAACTTTGCAAAGAACAGAGACAATAAATCCAGGAATAAAATTGATGTATGTCCAACTGGGTTCCTATGAGCACAGCACTGTCTTCTGGGATGCTTCTGGGAACCAATTCACCAGTGCTGCCCCTGTCCGCTGTTATTAACCACTGAATCTTCTGCATTCATGTCTAGATATTGTTTACTGACCTGCTTCAGCTCACCCTTTAGTTTAAAAACTGGAGAGTCAGGGAATAGTCTTTTTCACAGTCTGTTTTTCTTCCCTTGGTGCTCCAGAGATTTTCTTGCTGAGCATTTTAAAATTAAATGCATTAGGTTTGTATTTTGGCCATTATGCTTGCTGTAGTCCCTAGGTGCCCATTTAGAGTTGATCTTGCTCTTATCTGCCTGAGCTGTCATAAATAATCATATTGAACCCAGAAAAGGTTGAAGAGTCTCATATTTGTGTATTTCAAGTCACGTAACATATTCTAACCATCAAGAACAAATGTGGGAATAAAAATGACTGCATTCAACATTCATCTTTTTGTTTATGCTAACAAGAGATTTTAAGTTCCTGGGTTAAATATTGAATCTTATTGAGTTTCTTGAAATCAGATTTTCTTTCTGTCTACAAAAATAAAATTCACATTTATCATTTATAGCTTTTACAAGCTCATCCTCCAGCCAGTGCAAAAAGTAGCTGCCTGATATCTTCTTCACAAATGCCTTTTGGCTCCAGAGAGGACTTCACTCTTGTCTCTCAAATTAATTTCCAGCTTTTCCCTTTTCAATGAGTATAGCTGCTTGTGCCTGGACTGATCCTAATCTCCTATTTCTATCCATTTGTTGCTGTTTAGGGATAGATAAAGTTAGAGAATAGCATCAAGAAATGATAAAGGTCATCGTCAAATGTCTGTGCTACCTATCTGGAGGTGGGCTAGAAAATGATAAAATGAGTTAAAGTTTACCAAAGATTATAAACATTGGTTGGAGCATTTCCTACTCTTGTGACTGGAGGCACTGAAGGTATAAAAGAACATGAGATTCCTTGACCAAAAGGAAGCTGGACAGCAGTGAAGTATAGATGTATTGGGTACTGGGTTTGACAAACTTTGGCTTTTCATCCCTATCTGCTTAGTTTTATTCTTTCAAGGACCATGCTGCAAATAGTCTGCTTAAACTAAGAGAGGATGATGAAGTTATCTATCTCAGATTAAGGACAGCCTTGTTCACTCTCCCTCCCTAGATCTCCCATGCTATCCAGCACAAGAATGCTCACTCATTCCAGTGGAGTTTCTGGAGCATGCAGTACAGCTTCATCCTGTGCTCTTTTGTTGGTGTCTGTGGAGGAGCATTTTTCCTCCTGACATCTTTCTACATCGAGGAAGATCGTAAGGAAGCACAACAGCTTTGAGGTTTCTATACATCTTTATAACTTTTAAACCTGTACCCCATTGCTTTCCTGTTTGTATGTGAGCCAGGATATTGGCTCTGTAAAGTTAAAACACAAATGTCTGCATTATGTTAATACCACATTCATTTCTATAAAAAAATAAAGGCAAAATCCCAGCAAAGTCACAGATTAAACAAACCTCCCATATTGAGCAAAATAGACTGCAGAACACACAAGGATCATTGTGTGGCACATTAGTGACACCTTTGAAATGCTGCACTCTATGGAGATAATGAAATAGCTTTACTGGAGGTAATGCACAAATTCCACTTCGTGGAAAGTGCAGTTCTTTTTCTGCTCTGGTCTTTCTGAGCCCATTAGAACCAGTCCTAGCCTTCTCCCTCTTCCCTGAAAGGAGTCATATTCAAAGTGCAAAAGACTTAAAGAAAACCTGTTGAATTGGACAGAACACTGTCCTTAATCATCTTGATTCTTACAAATTCCTTCTGCTCTGACTTGTTTTTTTAGGTACCAGCAATGAATGCTGTCTTTCAAATGAAAATGAACTCTGGGGCAAGATTTGTGAAGAGGAAAAGAACGTCCTCCCCTTTTTCTTTCCTTTTTATTTAATGAGATACAGCTAGAGAAAAGGCCAAAATAACAATTCCTCCATATGGCAGAAAACCCTGCAGACTGACTTTTTGGGATGCTTTTGACTGTGAGTCAAAAAATTGCTACTGCATTGGCATATGGCAGCCCTCCCCCATCTGCAAAACGGGCCCCAGTATTGTGAGGAGCTGGGGAGCTCCAGAAGGCAGCGCGTGGAGCTGTCACAGGCAGGGCTGCCAACCTCAACAAGACAGGAGCACTTAAGGCAGAACGTCTCGTGGAGGTTAGGAAGGGAGGCTTTATGAATTCTCAGCAGGATAAGATTTGCCTGTAGAATTTGGAAAATGTAGGCAGCACAAAACGTGTTCTCAGTCATCTGAAATGACCAAGAGAAGCAGAAACTATCAAAGTCAGTGTCACATTCAACAGTAGAGGGTTGTGATCATTTCCTATCTAATATGTTAACGGCCTCTTTATAATCCTTTGAGGCTCTTCAGTGAATCCTCAGGCCTTGGGTAAGTATCTCCTCTCATGAGTGAACAGCAGTAGCTGTAAAACCACTTAAATATAATGATCCATTTGAGCTCTTATCTCTAAAGTGCATAAGACTTTGGATGTGGTATCTATTGTCACAATATCGTGTCAGGTGCCAAACAGGACATGGGTAGTGCCACCAATTTTCATTGAGGTGGTGTCGTTCCCAGCAGCACCTTAAAGCCAAAGCCTGAGGAAGGTATTAGCAGGGGAATTGTGAAGTGTTCCGACTCCTGCCGGATTCTCCCAGTAAATCATAAGGATCATAAAGCACAATATTCCTGTAATGGCTGTGAATATCTAATGTCATCAGAAATAGCATAATTCAGCAGCTGCAGGTTTTTGTTTCTCGCTCTCTCTCCCTCATTTTTAAAAAATCAGTTCTGAAACCTGATTTAAACCCAGGTAGTGAAATTTGGTCAGAGTTTATGCCATTATGGGAAATAATAGAGAAACTTCTTTGTGATACTCAGTAAGCGTGTAATAGTAATTTACTGTTTCATCACTGTATGCCCAGAAACTGATGGAAGAGTTCTGTGACAAGTGCACATCAGCATTTGAGGACATGCAATTATTTATTTTGTTTAATTCTCTGATATTTACTGATGCCAACAGTGCCACAAAAATCCTTCCTTAGTATTTTACTGGGGTTTCTCAGAAGGTTTATGTAGGTGTACCACCATAAAGATTTGCATTGTGCCTCAAGTCACAATATATAGTCATGTATATTCTGAAATAGATCTCTTGTACACAATATATAGTCATGTATATTCTGAAATAGTCTGAGATTGTTGGTATTAGGAAATCATTTGGTTTTAGTAAGGAATTAATTTTACGAGATAACCTGATACTATGAAAAGTGCTGAGCTTGGATTTGCAGAGCTCTGAGGATCAGTAACAGAATCACAACATTCTACCTTTGTTGCCAAACTCTAGAGACAAAGTTTGCAATTGCTAAAGTCATTGACAACTGCAAACCAGATGCTCCCAACACCCCAGCTGATTCCCTGAAACTCTGGCAGACAGGCCAAGCTCTTGAGAATCACGTTTTTTCCCCCCATTATTCAGCTATGGTAGGATTTAAGCAGCTTGATAGTACTTCTTTATTGGTATCTTCATGATTTGCCCTGTAAACAGATGATCTATTTATCACTTTTGTTAAATCAGCATTAAATTCTTCTTTAAAAAAAATAAATAAATCAGAAGCTGTGTCTGGAATAGCGCGAGGCACGCAGTGACATATGAGCAAGCACTGCCAAATGCTGCTCTGGAGACGGTACATGAAGTCCGTGAGAAGCTCATTCCTACTCCTACTCTTCTCTCCTTTGTGAAAGTCAGTGCCTAGAAATTAGCAGGATCACTCTGACTACTTCAATTCCATCTTTTCAAATGCTTCGACTCCTGCCGGATTCTCCCAGTAAATCATAAGGATCATAAAGCACAATATTCCTGTAATGGCTGTGAATATCTAATGTCATCAGAAATAGCATAATTCAGCAGCTGCAGGTTTTTGTTTCTCGCTCTCTCTCCCTCATTTTTAAAAAATCAGTTCTGAAACCTGATTTAAACCCAGGTAGTGAAATTTGGTCAGAGTTTATGCCATTATGGGAAATAATAGAGAAACTTCTTTGTGATACTCAGTAAGCGTGTAATAGTAATTTACTGTTTCATCACCGTATGCCCAGAAACTGATGGAAGAGTTCTGTGACAAGTGCACATCAGCATTTGAGGACATACAATTATTTATTTTGTTTAATTCTCTGATATTTACTGATGCCAACAGTGCCACAAAAATCCTTCCTTAGTATTTTACTGGGGTTTCTCAGAAGGTTTATGTAGGTGTACCACCATAAAGATTTGCATTGTGCCTCAGATCTCTTGTACACAATATATAGTCATGTATATTCTGAAATAGTCTGAGATTGTTGGTATTAGGAAATCATTTGGTTTTAGTAAGGAATTAATTTTACGAGATAACCTGATACTATGAAAAGTGCTGAGCTTGGATTTGCAGAGCTCTGAGGATCAGTAACAGAATCACAACATTCTACCTTTGTTGCCAAACTCTAGAGACAAAGTTTGCAATTGCTAAAGTCATTGACAACTGCAAACCAGATGCTCCCAACACCCCAGCTGATTCCCTGAAACTCTGGCAGACAGGCCAAGCTCTTGAGAATCACGTTTTTTCCCCCCATTATTCAGCTATGGTAGGATTTAAGCAGCTTGATAGTACTTCTTTATTGGTATCTTCATGATTTGCCCTGTAAACAGATGATCTATTTATCACTTTTGTTAAATCAGCATTAAATTCTTCTTTAAAAAAAATAAATAAATCAGAAACTGTGTCTGGAATAGCGCGAGGCACGCAGTGACATATGAGCAAGCGATGCCAAATGCTGCTCTGGAGACGGTACATGAAGTCCGTGAGAAGCTCATTCCTACTCCTACTCTTCTCTCCTTTGTGAAAGTCAGTGCCTAGAAATTAGCAGGATCACTCTGACTACTTCAATTCCATCTTTTCAAATGCTTCTCTCTTTTCTTTGTAATGTAAGGGAAGAGGACTTCTTTCTTAATTTTTTTTCTGCATTGCAGTAGGACTAACATCCCAGCCAAGAGGCAGGATGCTCTGACCTGGGCCTGGGCCTCCCTGGAGCTGCATTGTCCTCTGTCTTGGTTCAAACTGGGGTCCCTCTCCCCTTGTGATGGTCAGGCAAGAAACACATGCCCGACATCAGAGAGAGTCATTCGTAGCTCAGATGACCTCACTGCTGAGTGCCCAGCTTCACTGCTGTCCTCATAAGGTACCTCCAGCCTTCTGGAGGAGGAGAGAGAGGTGGGTGGTGCATTTTGTGTCTCCTCACTGGGATGCTGATGCCCTCAACCCCTCCACCATGGAGCCAGGAGGCTGGAAGCTTTAACCCAGCTCTTCCAGGTACAATTGCCTCGATTCAGCAAGGTTCTGTAATCAACAGAGATGATAATTGCACCCTCAAAAGAAGAGGATACCCATGATTTCCACTTTGTTGTACATCCTTTCCCAGTTTGGCAGGAGCCCTTCTGGCCACACTCCCCTACCAGTCGATGCCTGTAGTAACCACTGGCCAAATGGCCATGAGGGCACCCAGTTAAATTCAGCCCTGAGGAAAGGCCGTGCTCTTTGTGGCAACCCCTCCGACAGCCTGTTTGCTCCCGGGTTTTCCTCAGGGCTGTTCTACCCTCAGCACTGCCAAAGGACGTGCCTGGGCTGGGAAAGATCAAAGACTGGGAAATACCAGAATGTGGGAGCTTTGCAGAGCTGTTTCTGCAAGAACTGAAGATCCAGTTCTGTGAGAAGCTGAAGCAAACCCTGCCGTGTCAGTGGGAGTTGTGTGTAGTATTTCCCCTGTGTCAGTGCTCAAGGGCTCAGATTAGTTGCAGAAATGGTGAAGTGCTGAACTTCTGTATTGTGCTTGTAATTGGCCGAGTTCAAAGCGGTCAACAAAGATCATAATTTACATACATGGAGTATTTTAGAGATTAACAGAAGGCTTCAGGATATGTATTTTTCCTCTAATACTGGTGATTAATATCTCTCTCAAATACAGCATCCACAAGACACTGTCTTTGTGGATCCTGCAATATGTACGTTGCCTGTGCTGAACCAAAGTTGAGCCTGGACAGGAAGGGAAGAAGAGATTCCTGCATCCTTAACCAAGTTTTTCCTGGTTTTGTTCCAGTGAGTCAACATGAGCACTGTTGGTAGTGACGCGGAAGAACTTCTCTTGGAGGGTGAAAACCTAGGGGGAACCAAACCCAGCACCAACCCAGCATCAATCCTTGCCACTCCTGCACCAAGCTGTGCATGGCCTCAGCCCTCTGGTTCCCCCCATGTTGGGGCTGTATTGGGAGGGCTTGGCCTGGCACGGCCTGGCTCAGGGTTGCCGAAGGCAGTAGGTGCCCAGGGCAAGGCCTAGCAAAGGGTGCCCAGGTGCTGGCTCAGTAGTTGGCTCAGTAGTTTTCTTGGATAGGTTGGTTGGGTGGTTGGCTGGTGGTTGGTTGGGTGGGTGGCTCACCCACTTGGAGAAGCTGTTCACCACTCTACCCCGGAGAAGCCCTTCACTGTGCTGCCCCAGAGAAGTTGTTCAGTACACCACTCCAGAGAAGCCCTTCACCATGCTGTCAAGGAGAAGCCATTTACCGTGATACCGAGGAGAAGCCATTTACCGTGCTACCAAGGAGAAGCCATTCACCACACTGCCCCGGAGGAGCTCTTCATCGTGTCACCCAGCTCTTGTTGGGGCACTTTACCACATCGCCTGAGAGGAACCATTCACCTTGCTTCCCTGGACAAGTCCATCATCACACTGCCTGCCTCGTCTTGAAGACCTTCATTGTGCCACCTCAGAGGAGTCCTCAGTCACATCACCTTGGAGGAGTCCTTCATCATGCTGCCTGGCTCTTCTCAGAGCTCTTCATTGTGTGACACCAGGGGAGCCCATCACCATGCCACCTTGGAGGAGCCTTTCAACATGGCCCTGGAGGAGCCCATCATCACATATTGTGTTGTGTTTTGTCCTGTGTTGTTTTTCATATTGTGTTGTGTTTTGTATTGTGTGGTAAGGTCTGGTTTTGAAGCAATCTGTTCTGGGGCTTTTTGGGAGCGCTCCATACCAGGGCTTTTATTGAGCTCTCCTTAACCTTAAGGACAGCATGATAGATGGTGAGGAAGAGGAGTGTGAGCCTACTGGTGAAGAATCTGACTGGGAACCCAGTTCAGAAGACAAGGATAATGAAGATGTTGAAATGCTTTTTCATGGAGTATG